AGAAAAATAATTATGGAAAGTTAACAATAACAAGGAATAAAAATGCTGTATTTAACATTAATATCGAGTGGCTAGTGAATTTGAATTATTATTATACATTTAAGCCGAGATATTAAAGGACATCAGAACACACACACAAAAAATAATCTTACAATGATGAGAAATTGTAAAGAAAGAAAGAAAGAAAGAAAGAAAGAAAGAAAGAAAGAATATGATTAATTAAAGATAAATATAAAAATAAATAAAGTATGTTTAAATAATAATCATAATAATATTATCATTATCATTGGAAATGAACTTTTCTACATTACAATGTCAATTGACAAAACTACCCCTCTAACAAAGGTCGTTTATATTTCTATCACACTTCCGTCAACAACCCCTCTTTTCTTACAATCGGAATATATAAACCCAAATAAGCCTAATAAAAGTTACCAATTTCGTACGTCATTTTATTTTACAGACAATATATATATATATATTTATTTTGTTTTTAATATATATACTACCAATGGTGAGAAACTAGCCTTCTAAGAAACTAAATAACATAAACAATTTGATACGTATTGGATATATTTATATATATATATATATATATATACTTGATTGGTACTAAACTATTGTATATTATTACTACTACTACTACTACTACTACTACTACTACTACTACTACTACTTCTTTTTCTTCTTCTTCTGGATATCCCATCAGCCATTACTTGTCGTGTGACTAAATACCAGATTTGGATTTTTGTTTTTAGGAGACTGAGAGAACGTATAGGAGAGTGGCTAGAGGTAGAGTTTTTATAAACACATTTGATTGTCAAGTTCGGGATACACGGAACAAGTTTTTTTTTCTTCTTTTCTCAATAACAAAAAGGAACATTTTATATGATGATAGGGAAAGGACAACAAATAAACAAAGTTAAATTTATTTTTTATTTTTTATTATTATTTTTATTATTTTTTTTTAATCATTGCTATTTTATATTTTATAATTAAATTAAAAATAAAAAGAAAAAAGAAATAAAAATTTCATCAGTTGATTCAAAAAAAAAAAAATTAACTAAAGGCCTGAGACAAGAAAAAAAAAAAAAAGAGAAGATTATTTTAACTAGCTTATATATATATATATATATATAATATGAACCTAATTTTGTTTGAATGTTAATATCTCTTAAGCTTTTATTTTATTTTATTTTATATTTTATTTTTTAAAACATCCAAAAATAAAAAAAATATAAAAAATATATAAAAAAAAAGTTTAGCTAATTGATAGATAAAAAGGAAATACCCAACTAAAATTTGGTAAGGGTTCACATCACCATATATATATATTGTATTATATTTTATTATAATTATTTTATCGCTTGTTCTTGTGATTGATAACTTTTTAATGTTTAGGTCTCAAAAACATTAAATCTTAGACCTCGTTTTGAGTAGTATACTATATATATATATATAGTAGTATTAAGATATTATTACGTTATTTTCTTTGTGTGTATTATTTATATTTGAAAAACACAAAAAAGTTATCACATTTGTTTTTATAGATAAAATAAAATAGAATAAAATAGAATAGAATAGATAGCAAATATTCCATGAACCACTTTGATGGAATGATGATCGAAATTGGTCTGAGGGTCCTTTGAGGGAGAGGAATTTCTATTTGGGATTTCAATTTGGGATTTCAATTTTTTTTTTTTTTTAAAGAAAATCGAAAGAAAGAAAGAGAGTTCCCAGTAAACTGGAACTTTTGGTGGGTCTTAAGGTTACGAAATAGGAGAGAAAAGAGAGAAAGAGAGAGAGAGAGAGAGAAATAAAAAACAAAAACAAAATAGTCGGGTCATGAACAAGTTGCGTTTTTCCCGAGTTACGGAAGATGAAGAAAGAGTGTCGGGGGGGGGGAGAGATTTTTTTTAAGCAATTAAATAACGTAACAGTTGGTATTCATTAGTTATTTATTTAGTCTACATTTGAGAAAAGAGAAAAAGAGAAAAAGAGGAAATGAAGAACGGGTATTTGGAAGAAAGAATAGTGGGAAAAAAAAAAATAAATAAAAAAATAAATAAAAATGCAACAAAAAATATAACCAATGAAGTGGACCACGAGAAAAGTAAAGTAAAGTAAAGTAAAGTAAAGTAAAGTAAAGTAAAGTAAAGTAAAGTAAAGTAAAGTAAAGTAAAGTAAAGTAAAGTAAAAAAAAAAAAATCCAAAAAGTGAGCTTTGAATGGAGCTGATTTTAATTTTGAAACTTGGATTTTTTTTAAATTGGTTCATGTGGGAATTTGGGATTTTTTTTTTTTGCAATGTCAAAAAAAAAAAAAGAACAAGACTAAACTTAAAGAGATTAATATATATATATATATATAGATTGAAAGGCGTATATTATATCGATAGGGAATATTTTTTAAAACAATTTATTTAATATCAACATCAAAACGAAACAGAAGATAAAAAAAAAAGATTCTTATGTTATATATTAATTTTTTTTTAAAAGATGTATATATAGTTTAAAAGAGAGAAGAAGAATAGGGGGAAAAAAAAATAATAATAATACAGGTTAGACCAATTAAATTTAACGGAAAAAAAAGACCCTTTAAGAAAGAAAAAAAAAAACAAAGATACGGGAAATTAAAACAATATATTAAAGATAAAGGGAAAAGAAAGTATAGAGATGATGAAGATGATGAAAGATGATGAAAGATGAAAGATGAAAGATGAAGGTGATGACCAAGTGTTTCTCTTTGTGCTCGAGGAAAGTCTACGATAAAAAAAAAAAAAAAAATAAGAACATTTTTGGCAGTTGTTGATATATTTTATATGGGACTGATCATTATTTGCTTTGTTATTTATTTTTAATTTAATAATTTTTTTTTTTTTTTTTTTGATTTCGATAAGCCTGTGTAGTATTATTATTATTATTATTAAAATATTTCACCCTAGAAATTATCATTAAGGGGAGAGGAATTTTTTTTTTTCTTTAAAGATATATTTTTAAAGATAAAGACTTTTAGGGAATAATGAAAAACAAAAAGACCTGTTTCGGAGCGATAATGGGATATATATTTATAAAAAAAAAAAAAAAGAAATTAAAGAAATTAAAAAAGTTAAAGAAAATATTTATATATAATAAATTTTAGTTCATTATTAACATCATCATCATCATCATCATCATCAACATCAACATCTACATCAACATCATCATTTTGGTCTCGGGTCATGATTGGCCGCCGAATGGGTGACACATGCGTAAGTGAACATTGCGCACAACTGGATCT